TGAAATTAAAAAGAAAGTCATTACTTTCAAAAATTACATTAAATATAATGAAACAGAATTCACTTTTTGTTTTTGTTCTCAGTAGAGTCAAATTAATATATTTTGGCTTGAGTTTTCTTTTGCAAGGACTGAAGAATGGTGGATGATTCTTATTTGAGCAAGAAAACTTTGCCATTATAATATTTAGACCTATGGGCCTGTAGGCAAGCAAGATGTAATTAACCACTTAGCTGCACTGAGTTACACTTATCTCCACTTCGCCTGTTTAGCTTCCCATAAGCACGCTAAGCACCTCTTTAGAATGCACTGACCTCTAATTATTTCTTGCTTTATGTATCCCTTAGCCCACATTGAAGAAATGAAAAATATCCCTATTGGTATGCAGTGCAGAATAATACAACCTAGTTTTGTTTTATTTGTTCTGTATGCAGAATGAAATTTCAACATCACTCTGTTCCCCAAAACTCAAAATGCGGTGCATAACGATTAAATTTCATGCTTTATCATGTAAAGTGACACCGATTAAATTGTTTTTAAGTAGTGGGCTAAATTCCCTATTGCACTAGGGTGCAAAATTGCATTACCCAGGCTTTTGACTGTCACATTACTAAGGTGTGAAAATTATAGCCGTGGCATGAGCTTTATTTTGACATCTTTCTGAAGTCATAAGATGCACTGGATTTGTGGGATTTTTACAGTGGAACCCTTGCATTAATACATCTATCTTAATAGCATTTGTGCCTTTCTGAAGTCACAGCATGTCTGGTAGAAATTCTGGCTTTACTGGAGTAAGTTTTAGCCTGGCAGTAATAGCATTATAATAACTGTCTTGGCACAAGAGCACCTAGAACCAAGAGGAAGAACCTAGTATGTTATATGTGTGATTTACTTTTCTCTAAGATTTGAAGGTTTATGCCTCATAAATATTTTAATCCAGTTTTTGTATGCATCAGTCTGAGAATATGCAAGTGAAGCCTAGCCTGCAGATTTCAGTTTGGAATGCGTTGCAGTAATTCCCACCAGGATAAGAAGAGAAATTATTCTAGAATTCACCTGTGAGTGGGAAGTCAAGAAAGAAGGAAAACCTTTAACATTAAGCAGATGGACCTCCCTCCTTTTTTATTGGATATTTGAGATGCAAGATAATCATCTTCCCAGATACTGGAAAGGATAGACATGATTTGTCATATCGAAAGAATAAAGTTTAAGACCTAGTTTATGAAGTAGAAACTTAAGAATGGAAAGGAGACAATTTTGTATTCTCAACTCCCCATCACAGGCCAGGCTGCAGGAGCTGCATCTTAAAGAGTTCACAGAAGCAACTGTGAACTACAGAGCTGCAAGCCACAGACCACTTCTTGACACAGTGCTACTTTAGTCTGATATTTACATCTGGTTTCAAAACCTACAGTCTACCAAAGGAGAAAACAGGAAAGGCCATGGACTCTGCTAATGTCTTAATTCCTAGATTCTTGAGATATATCTGGAAACAGAACATACAGGAGCAAAACAGGCAGCAAGACCTACTGATGTCCTCTTTTCGGGCTGATTCTGGGAAAGAAATTTTGCTCTGATCAACTGAAACTTAAATCCAGCCCATTTCACCTGCATTTGCGAGGAAAGGGAAAAACATTCCTGTCCTCAACCTCAGTATGGAACCGATATTTAGGAATTCAAAGCTTTTGAACTGTGAAGGAGCATGTGACTTGAAGCACGTTGTTTAATTTGCTTTCTAAATCTTTTAAAAAAAATAGTAATACATTCTTTCTTGGCAGCCTTTCTCTGTTGAATAGATTTTCTGGAGTAAGAGCTGTCTTATTCAAAGTTCTGTATAGAGATCATCTGATGTGTCTCTGATCTCAGCTGCTAGTGTAATGTAAACACATGCTGCTTTACTATTACAAAGTTTTGGTCTAGTTTTTTAAAATGTTTTGTGCCAAGCTTGTTCTATTCCAAATGAATGAAGAAGCAGCATTTTGAATGAAAGCAATAGCAGAAAACCAACGTATTCTACAAGTCCCAAACTTCTGGTTGGGAGTTTCTGTGTCTGAGGGTTGCAGTTCCCTCCAGATCAGGTTTGAGACATGGAGAAGAAGCAATAGAAGAAAGGTAGAGAGATGACACAGTTTAGGGGTCTTTGCTGGCTCTAGGTGGTATCTGGAAGGAAGTTGCCATTCTCTTTTCCTTCTCCTCCTTGTTTTTATTACAGTATGAGGCTAAGAGTTGATCTGTGTTTGTGCCTTCTTCCTGCCACATATGCACAACATCTGCGGTTAATAAGAATCTGAGAGGAGGTGGTTCTTTCTCTTTCCTTTATCCTTTAGATAGTACTTATTGTCCCTCCCCTTCCTTCTGGACATACAGGGGAACGAGGGAGGGAATCTAGGCTGATTTATGCTTTTGCTTTCATGTACAGCTGTATGTGTCTGAGAATATTACAATTAGGTCCCTCTCTCCTGACCTTTCACTAAAGACCCTCATATTTTGTGGTTCCCAGGCTTCTCAGACAGAAGTAGGATAATAGGCCTGTGATCTATTTCTGCTTTAGCTACTTGCAGGTTTTGGCCAACAGCAATGCTGACCAGCTGCTCCTTGTTTCGCGGAGTTCCTGCTGCAACTTTGAGCAACAGGAAAAGAAGCTTCATTCTGAAGTGTTACAAAACCAGTGGTAGATGTTTTTTTTTTTTATGAGCTTTTTAGTACCAAGTACAAAATCGATGTAATTTCAGAAAATGCTATCATCAATTTCATCCCAACTTGCCTCAGCAGAAGCAGCAAAACCAAGAGTCTTGCGGGATATTGATTCTCTGGTTCTGTGTAATAGGTAAGTCAGATGAGGTTGTACCTATATGCAGAACAGCATGGAGTCACCTTATTATATTTGGGGCTGTGTGTCCCATTTCGCTTGGCTGTTCACTAAGCAAACACTTGCTAAGCTTTCTCTTCAAGAAACAAAACGAAACAAACAACATCAAGTGCAATCAATTGCTGAAGTTCTTAAATTGATAAATGTAAGTGAACTTGTTTTGTTTGTTTACTTAGATTTTCTCGCTTCCACATCTGTGGGGGTGCTCTGTTCTAAAATATGCCCTACGTGATGAGGTAAAGCTGTAAGTGTTGCACACTGATGCCTCCCAATGACCAACTGAAAGCAGCACACTACGTATGTTTGTAAAGCTTTTCCCCTTCTCTCCGCCATAATATCATCATTAGATCATCTTTTAAGGAGGTATTAAACGTAGCCTCTAGCATCCAGCAAGTGTCTTTGTGTTAAATTCTCATTTGATGTTGTACAGTGGTTTCATATGGATCTAGCACAGGCAAACAGCTGCATCACTTTAAGATGCTTGGATATGGAGCCAATAGCTTTTGTACTTTTAATGCAGTATTAAGCATTCTGAGGAAGTTGAAATAATATCAAGAGTAATGTCAAATTGAAAATAGAATCACTGGAAATGTCAATATATATAAAAATCCATTTACTAACTTGTGATACCCAACAAAATCTTAAATCTTCTGTTGTCTGAAGAGCAAGTTTTGTTGTTTAAGGAATGTATTCTCATTTAGAGGACTCTCACAGTTTTAACAATAATATTCTTCATATGCTCCTACCTCGTTTTTTTGTATTTCTCCTCACACAACTGTATTTAAATATGGCCTCGATAATCCAACTCATTTTTGGATGCCAATTAAAAAAATAAATCTATTTTAAGGGACTACCTAAAAACCCAGGAAGTAGGCATCACCTTCCTGAGACAGTGTTTGCAGTTCAAGGTCAGACAATTGATCTTTAACCCACTGTACGTAGTTCAAAGTGGTTGTTTAGCACAGGGGTTGTCTGCTAATATAGTGTTTTTTTTGTGCTTTTATTGGTGGAACTTAATGAGATTACATATATTTTGGTGAATAATTGCTGCCATGTAAGCTTGCCACCTACCTACAGTGACTCTTATGAATATTTGATGATAATAAGTAGTAGGAACTCTACTGTGATCCTCACATGCACTTAAAAAGAAAAAAAAAAACAACAAGGCAGCACAGGAATAGCTTTTGTTCTGCTCTTTTGCTTGCAGTAAGCAGTGTGACATTCATATAAGTGCTATTAGACATATCTAACGTGTTTCTCAATACTAGCAGTTTCATTTAAGCCATAATTTTATTCATTCAGCATGGGAAAGCTGCAGGGTGGAAGATGCAATTTTTATCATCTAGACTTCTTTTTTAATGTGAGGTAGTTAGACTAGCTAGTCTCATGCTTGTAGCTGTGAATTTACAGTTGAGAAAATATTATTTTGCAGGTGCAGCAGTTTTTGTAAAATCTAGAAATAATATATGTAGATCAACAATCTTGCAGATTTCTGTGGAAAGTCTTTGGCCTGTTTAGCGTTGCCTATAAACCTTATTTACCTCAGCAGTGCTTTACTGTCATGTTGCACATTAACAACGTCTGTCAGTAGTCAGTAGCAAGTGCTACTTTTTGTCATCCCTTCAACTGGGCTTTTTTTTTCTTTTCTTTTTTTTTTTTTTTTGATATGCAGTATAATATATGTTTTTCACCTTGTGTGTTGTTTCAAGATGTTTTTGCATGGAGCTGTTACTAAACTCAGATTACCTATGCAGTTGCCTTGGATTCTGATGCTTGGTTTTGCTAGCACATTTGAAAAAAAAAAAATCACTGCTCTATTACAGGCTTGCTGTACAGACCACATTCAAATCACAGGCTGACATTTCTAAGTTGCTTGCTTAATTTATATATTTTTCTTTTTGTTCCAAAACTTGCAGGGGCTGCTACACAGCTATATTTTTTCCATGCTGAAGTGGTGATGACAGCAGTGACAGTTTTGACATTCATAGTTATTTGAGCTTTTTGTACTTGAATGATCTTGTATAGTAATTACTTTTTCCCATAGTCCTGTGCGTTACGCATGTAAAAGTTCACTAATGCTACTGTAGTATTTTTCCTGAAAAGCAGGAGTTCACAGAAATTCTTTTTCTTTCAGGGAATCAGTTTCCTCCTATTGCAGCTCAAGATCTTCAGTTTGTTCTGAAGGCTGGATATCTGGAAAAACGCAGAAAAGGTCAGTTTAGCTGTCTTTGTGAAAATCGTTTAGTTTGTAAGTCGTGTTTGGAGGTTCTGTGTGCCAGTATTTGTAGTTGTACATGCAAATAACTTCATACAGAGTGATAAAATGGAACAGCAGTTGAAATGTAGAATCATTATTATGCAAAAGAAAGAAGAATGCATAATTGCTCCTGTGTTGTTAAAAGATGATCCCATTTCTTTATGGACTGAAAAAAAAATCGTGCTGTGAAAGTCCAGCGTCAGCCATAATTCAGAGACTTTTCAGATATTTTTGAAGAAAACATTAGGAATTTATGTAAAAGTACCATATGTTGACTTCATGTTTCAGTGAGCATCAAGATTTATTTTCCTTCAAGAGGGCAAATATTGATCTCAGCTTTGCTTCAGTCAATATTTACCTTGATTCAGTAAATCCTATATTGTCACCTCAATAACCACTTAATGCTACAATAACTATAGGAAATATTCAGGAAGTTGTTAATAATTTCCCTATATTTAATGTTACACATGCCTTCACTCTCTCTATGATTTCAAATTCCCATTTGTTTTCACTACCATCTATTATTTCTAGCTTTTTTTTCAATTCCATATATGTCTTCTCCATATCCAGATATTGTTTTCATTACCTAGCACTTTTCCTATCTCCTTTCCTCTTCCCTCACCTTTGAAAAGAAGTAACATATTCATGTTCAGTAATGCCATAAAGAAATGTAACACGAGTTATATTATTTGCAGACCACAGTTTTCTTGGCTTTGAATGGCAGAAGCGTTGGTGTGCTATCAGTAAGACGGTTTTCTACTATTATGGAAGTGACAAAGGTAATTATAAGAATAATGATGAACTATTAAAATAATATTTTGATGAACAAATGAATATGAAAGCTTCAGTTGGAGTTGGTAACTGAGAAACCAAGGTTATTCTTAGAGAGCAGATGAAACTTTTAAAAGATTTTGTTTGTTTGTTTTGTGCTTTGAATTTTAAAAATGTATAAATATGAATACTCTCAGGCTCTGTAACTGATTTGCCCATTTTTTAAAGCAGGGAAACTGAGGAAAAAGGTTTTAGTTATTTGTAAAGCTACTTGACATGCCAGTAACAGCTGGCTGTTAGGCTTGATAGTACTCCAGTTCTTAATTAATCTACTAGACAGCAAAGACTCTTTTTGTCTAAATGGGATTTTCATTTTAAAATACCCTACAGCAATTACACCATCTGATTCTTTAAAGGTGATTCTTTCGAGGAAAATGCTAGTGCTGAAAACACATAGTGGTGTACCATGTTTATTTCTAAATTTCATTCTGGAAATGAAGTAATATATCAAACTAAAAGCCAGTTATGGAGACTAGGACTAGTTTCTGCAGGTGAGTTTGGATGGCCATTTTTGAAAGAATATGGCATAAATGTTGGAATATCCCTTTGAATTTTAAAAATTGTCAATGAAACAAAGCATCCTTTAAATTGCATGCAAAGCATATTTTGTATTTAAGGGTAAGATATATGATATAGAATTATATATGTGCAGGTTTTAAAAGTTCATTCTTTTTTCCCCAAAAGAACTTATTTTTGGACAAACTTTCAATTTGAGCTTTTTTTTCTTCTGCTTATGTTTGTGCTACTCCCCTTGAGATTAATGCTGTTAGTCTTTTCATATGTTTTTAATTTGATTCAGTTTTTAGTTTGTTCCCTTGCTGAGTTTGCTGACTCATTTAAACTCATTCCCTCTTTAAAAAAGGAGAATTAACTTAAGGGTCTAATTGTTTATCATGTACTTTGAAGGTTAAGTCCAGTTTTCATCTTGCTACAGTTTCCTCTCAAATTCTGTTTCCAGAGTTTTGTTACTACATCTGCTGTTTGTTCCCTTATAAATCTTTGGCTTTTCATCTGCTAGTTCTTGGTCTTTGGATTAGGGTGGGAAAATACCATTTCCCCCTCTTCCATGCATTTTCCTTTTGCAGTGGCTTCTGTGTTGTAATTTCTAATATCTATACTGAAAGATAAGGCACATGGAAACATGTTCCATAGCATGAGGTTTGAGGTTAATGGGTTTGCGTCGTATTAGGAATTGACTGAGATACACAGAGATAGCTTTTCTTTTTTGATCTACAGGCAAATGCTTTGGTTTATACATTTCCAGCTTTTGTAATCTTCAGTTGTTTGGGGAAGATCTTCCTAACCATACCCTAATGTTGTGGGAGGAATTCATGGTCCATGGAGCATCTTTTAGGAGTTGCATAGACATAGACTCTGTGGCTAGCTCACAGAGGAAGCAAACAAACCACATACATTCTGTGCCTCCATCTGATAGATTCCGGAGCTGATTCACACAATGGAAATGGGAAAATTCCACTTTTGTCAACGTGAACCTCGTCTGAAGAGAGATGAGCAGAGGAGAGGTTCCATGTATGCGTACAGTCATGCTGTGTGTTTAATGAGTAATGTAAAGTTGTGCACTGGGGAATATAATGCAGACAGGTAGCAGAGATTTCTAGTTCTTGTTTCATCTTGTGCATGTTTTTTAAATCCAGGACATGTAGACCACTAATCTGTGAAGGATAGTTTTTAGCTGGTGAAACATATATTTTGTAGGCCAAGTTTGAGATTATAAGCATCCTTATAACGGTCCTGATGTCTGTTGACTAATATGTCTTTTTCCCCTTTTTCTTCCTACATTTTCTGGTACTTTTGGTGCAGCATTGGATCATGAAACAGTGTTACTTATCTCTGCAATATAGATAAGTTTAAGCAAATCACCTACGTTTCTATTTCCTGATCAGTGATGGAGAAATCTTGGTTTGTGGTTCGACCTAGAAGTCTGTATTGCAGGAAATGCATGTGTTTTTGCACTTGTGCTGCAGTATCTATTGTCAGTATGTGGCCCACAACACTGCAGAAGAGCATGCTGAAGTATCAGAGCTGACTTGGATTTCCAGAAGCTTGCCTGCTCCTTACTGTAATAGGATTTTCTTCCATAAACATGTACAGGCCTTCTCTTCTTTAAGCTCAGGCACCTAGGTGGTATGACTCGTCCTTCAGACCTCAAAGTGCACGACCAGGAAAGTTGATCTAAACGAATGACCTGGCAGCCACAATTTTATATGCCCTTCTGTCTCAGCAAACTGGAGCTACATGTTTAGGAAGGCAGTAATTGATAAATGAAAATGACAGTGAAGTCTTGATTATCCTTTATCACCTGCATTTCGGTTTGTAGTGCCAATGTAGTAGCATAGGAAGGAGAAAACAGACTCATTATTTCAATTTTTTCACAAAATTGTTTTTTTTAACTCCTAAAATTTGATTTTTTGTGGCTACAGAATTGTAATAGTTGTGAATAAAGGAAGATGCTGCTGTATTTTTTCTTTTTTCCTCTTAGCCTATTCAGGGGGTAGTGTAACTTAAAGCACTTTCAGGCTGTTAAGTTTATGGCTGTTTCTTCAACGTTTACTGATATCTTGGTGCTTCATAAGACCTGCATTGCTTTGTAGGTTTATTGAGTCCTCTGGGACAACTTTCTAACTCAGTGACGTGCATGTTTGGACTTGAATATAAGCAAACTGCTGCCCTAAATAGTATCTTTGCCTCAATTTTTTCTTTCTTTCTTTCGTTGTTTTTTTTTTTTTTTTTTTTTTTAAATTTAGATTTCTCAAGTGAGAAAATAAAAAGTCTGTTGCATTTCAGGTTTGCTGCCTATAAAAAAATAATTGCTATGCGCGCACTTGGAAAGGCTTATTCTAGAAGCTGGAAAAGGAATTACCATTTTGAGATACTGACGTGCTGTTTTTAGAAAGTGTATGGAAAAGTATGCAAAACTACATTTAGCATGAAGACATGTAAACTGTAAGATCTTACAGGCTCCTAATTTCAAGATGAAGACAGTTAAATTATAGATTCTAATAGTATCTATAAATACTTTATAACTCTCTGAAATCTTTCTGTTTGCCTTTGTTCCTTATGCCTTTCTCTGTAACTTCTTTCCTTTCCAATCTTCAAGTCCTCTCTGTTCTACAGAGTGCACTCATTCTTTTTACATGTGCTAATAATATGGTCACAATGCCTTAGGCCTCAAATTTACAACCCAATCATTTCAAGACCCAGTTGAAGGTTTACCCTCCTTTGTTTCAAAAGTTCCCATGGACTCAGCTCAGTTACGCAAGGCTACTTCAAAACCCTTTTTGTTTGCTTCCCCGGAGACTCCCTTTTCCTAATGTAATATTGGTCCTGTTTCCATTGTTAACAGTATTTCACTTTTTCCTTTTTAAGATACATGAAATTTATATGTAATATTTAAATTTAGGAAAACGTTTAAGGCGGCTCTCAAATTTCATTCAGATCTGTATTTGTTCTACTTTAAGTACTGCCCCATAAACTTATTTTTCTCTAAAATATTTGTCCTAACTTTGATTAATTTTTAGTGCTTAATTCCTGACTGTCCGCTCTGTTGTACAAGGTTTTTACCATTCAGAATTTCTGAGGCAAAATGGAACGCACGGACCCAGATTTATTTATTTATTGATTCATATCTGATATAGAGTGAAGAGAAGGGGATGAGAAGATAAGAGTAAAAAGCAGCTTATTCTGAAATGAGATCTGACCTAATGGCGGAAAAACTTTTGCCTACTGATACTTGTGTTCCTTCTTGCTATTACAAAACTGATCAAACTATATTTTTGCATTGCTGTTCTATTTTGCTCTGCAACAACCTGAGGGTTTCATGTGGTTGAATTGCAAAGCCCTATTTTGAGAAAATAAGAGACAAGAAGAATGTTATCCTTCGGAGAAGTGCATTCCGTTCATATGTTTCTCCCCAGTCCCTTCCTAATATGCTGTTGAATTCCTGTCTGAGGAAAAACTCTGGTACTAATTTGGAGACTCAAAGTGAAAGTGACATCTCAGTAGTGTAAATAGGCTTCCTGAAGCTATGGACATTTAAAGCTCTTGCCATTCGGAACTAGTGTGTCTAATATTTGGTCTCCAAGTAAAATCTTCAGGTCTTTAAAGCTTTTAAACATCAAAAGCTGTTATACTCTCAGTGAAGTACAGTGTCCTGAATGTATCTGTGATATCAACATTTTTTGAATGGGAAAGTTCATTGAAGGCACACCTGCTCAGCTGCAAGCATTTCCTAAGAAATGAAGTTGAGGTGGTCATCAAGTATGATAATCACAAGATAGCTCTGCATTCCAGCCCACAGCTGAATACTGTGCCTGGCCAAACAGCTGCCACATGTCACGATTTGCCCCATGACTGTTTCTCCCAACTTTGGTGGCTTTATGGTCAGGGCTGTGAAGTATCACATGGTCTTGAAATTTCCTTATGGTCAGCATCTTAAGCACTTGTGCAGAGCTACACTGGGCTTTTATCAGGGGCACCTTACTGCATAGGTAATTAGAAGCAAAAGTAGCAAAGATATGACTAGTCTGCTGCCATAAAGTGCAGTGAAAGAATTCAATAGCAAAGGAAATACAATTCTTTTTGGTGTATGCGAGTGATTTTCATTGGAATGGCATATCCTGAGAGATAAGAAAAAGACAATGTAAACAGGAAAACGAACAAATACAATGTGGATACCATGCACTGTGCCATTCTTCTGGTATAAAGTATAACACCTTTTAGTCTTGATTTTAATGCTCTTTGAAAGAACTGTACCAGTGCACAGATAACTCAGATTAACTCTTTGAAACTGCAGTCTCTTCAAAGGGATCGTCTGTGTCACAGGGAAGTATTTTTGGAAATATTCCAAGTGACTAAATTTGAATACTTACCTAATTTTTATCTTGACAAAATGTTACTGCTTTTTGAACCTGATGCTTGTTTATTCTGTCTGTGTTGCTCCTATGTTATTGGGATTTACTAGGGGAGAGTGAGAAATTAATGTGCTCCACTTCATCTTCTTCCTGAGGTCACAAATGAAGGAACAATAAAATTTCTAGGCTGAAATGAATTTCATTAAAAGGAGATCTATTTAACCTACTGCAAGTTATTTTTAATATCTGCCTTGGTGGGATTCCATGAATTTTGCATCTGTGTCCTGATTGATGTAGGGGAGGAGAAGTGAGCAAATAAAAAATATCAGTACTGAATCTTACTACATAATGAAGAAAACTTACTGTTACAGAAGGGGCTGGAAAAAGGAAATAGAACAGTGCTCTGGATTTGCTCATGTAATTTTTTAATTTGCTGTTTCCTTGCCCTGGGTGAGAATTAAGAAAGAGGTGGAAGAAAGCACAATGTAAGATTGCTAAGAAGAGTATTTGTGTAGGAACTCCCTTACTTCCACTCATGTTTGCGTTGCTGTTTGCCATGTTTTGCCCCTTCAAAAATTTTGTTTTTTTTCCTATTTTATCTGTCTATAGAAGCTGTCTTCTTTTGTTGAAAAACATGAGCAACAAATCCTTCATTTGCTTCTGTTCAGCAGTAGTCAGAGTGTTGTTGTGTCTAATGCTTTTTGTTAGTTAATGCATTCCCCTTCTGTGTGGGGGAAAAAAACCAAAACAGTATAAAGGTGTATATAATTTTCATTTACATCTGCACTTTGTTCTGGGACGCCTGAGAAAAATGTGACTGGTGGTGCCCATATTAGATTGAATGCTGTACTGTGATCAGCAGAACTTGCAAAAACAACTTACTTCTGCTTTTTTTGTTTTCTTTTTAATATCCACCAAAACATGCCTTGGTTTAAAGTGCTCAGAAGCACACAGGTGCTACTTGACCACCACGCAGAATATTTACCTCAGGCCTATGCTAAGTGTTACTTTTATAAACCAGAACCCTTAAAATTGAAAAAGTAGAATTGTCTTTAAAGCAACCACATGGCTCTACGTAATAAACTGTGGTAGGGCTCAGTACTTTTATTAGCTAATTAAAGTGTGTTGAGAAAAATGCTTTGGGAACACACACCTGAATTTATAACAGAATTCATTCTGTACTTCTACCATGTGGAAAGGAAGCGCATCTGGGAGTGAGTGGGAAGAAAAGCTTTTTCAATTGCTTAAAAAAGAGCTTGAAGTTTATTTTTTTAAGTAAAGTGGTTAGTTTAGGAGGGAGCTCAGCAAGCTCTCAGCTAGGTGGGTTTTCCCATTGGTTTACTGAACCTGAAAGAGACACTGATTTATAGGAAGCATGTCTCACAAGTTCCAGTTCTTTGGCTTTCCCTAGGTACAATTGTCATGACATGCACTTCTTGCTAAATAAGACCACCATCTGCAAGTATTTCTCTGTGGAATTCTGTAGTCATCCTACAGAAAAATATACTTTTGTGTACATCTTCCTTTAAAGTAAAGCTTTATCTCCAGAAGTACCACCTAATCATTTTGCTAAAAAAAAAAAAACCACCCCTGTTCTTTGTAAAATTCATGAAATGGAAAACCAAATCTGAATAAACGATAACCTGCTAAGCCACTCGCATTCACTGTTGTAAATGAAGCTCTACCTTTGTTTTTTATCTCCAACAGACAAACAACAGAAAGGTGAATTTGCCTTAGAGGGCTACACCATCAGAATGAATAATAGCCTTCGGAAGGACGCAAAGAAAGATTGCTGTTTTGAAATCTCCGCTCCTGATAAGCGCATTTATCAGGTTGGACTTTTTATGTCAACTTGAAATTAAATTGATAAAGCCGTTACAATTCCAGTTACTGAATTAACATTTCAGTAAAACAACTTCCACTGACATCTTAATAAAAAAAGGAAATCCTTGCTCGCTTATACTATATATTCGTACATTAGGGAAAAAAAAATCCAATTAAAAAAATATATGTATGCATTCAAATACTATAATTTTGGACAAGAACAGGGAAATCTATCATCTTTATCTTCGTCGTTTCAATGTTAGTATTTTAATATCATATAGTATGTCTGTATTATTTCTTGGATGAATTAAGTAGTGGAAATAAAAGTTAAACAAAATATCTATCAGTGTTAAATACGTATTGTATTGGTCATGGCTTTGCCAAGTATATCTGCTTTAAGGCACATATCAGCTGTGCTATTCAGAGATCTATCAGCTAGACATCAATATGGAATGTAAGTTTAATAAGTTTTAAATATCTGAGATTGCAGTTGAAAGCCAGTTAATTAAGCTGTCAGGTAGTGTGTTGGAGTCTGACAAGAACATTTTTAAGAAAACTGTACCCAGCAGTCTAAAGAAATTCATGGGTGTCTTCTAATTGTCAAGGGCAAATTTTGTTCATCAGTTCTGGCTTTGACATTGATGAAGAGAAGCAGCTTTTTTTCTGCACAGCTGCCAGCTGCTGATCAGAGTTTCAAATCCATCATCCTCTCCTTCAATTACGTAAATTTGTCAAAATTAGCTTTACATTATAAGAAGCATCCTTGCAAGAAAAGTACCAGAAGACATGCAAAGAATTACTAATGGTTTCTTGAGGAAGTGGCGAGAATGCTACAGACCCTTTTTTTTTATTGCTAATGAAATTGTAGTTATGTTTTTGTCATTACTACTACTCGTTATTAATAAACACAGTTTATTAATTTTTATTATTAATAGTTTACAGCTGCCACTCCCAAAGAAGCAGAGGAATGGGTACAGCAAGTGAAATTTGTAATTCAAGGTAAACCAGCCAGAAAAGCCATATCCTTTATTATCAATACTGCTTAATGATGGTAGTGCTGTCTATTAACAGGTCTGTCATGTTTGTATCTCTCTTATTACTACTTATCCAAGTTTTGAATAGCAGCTCCTGGTTCTCAGTCATCTTGTGGCTTTTACATGACTTTTCTCCTTATGCAATATATTTGCTTTTCCTTCCAGTAATGCCATATAGCTTGAAAGCTTTGTTATGAGTGTTTTAAGAAAATAAGCAGAATATACTGTAAGAACCAGCTTGTAAAATGAAACAAATTATGTTTTCATTTTGAATGAATTTATCTTAGTTTTTTTATTTATGAAACGTTAACTTTGCTTTTACATAGATATGGAATCTAATACTATTCCTGAGGAAGAGGAGGAATATGATGATGTTGGACATGCAAGCAGTGTGCCAATAGATGACAGCATTTATGAAGAACTTCCAGGTATTGTTGAGATTTTTTTTGACTTTATGCCTTGTGATAATTTTGTCTTCTCTGTTTCTAGTTTGATAACCTGAGTGGATAAAGCAACCTGATAACTAAGATACATATTTAATTTTTCTGTGACATTAGATATGTCTTTAACCAGATCTGAGTGAGAGCAGTTCAGTTTTCTTTAGCAGGGGCATCAAAATAGTGCAGAAAGCGTAAAGGTGGTCTTGAGGGACTTTTAGCTCATTAACATTTTCTAATATGTAATTTTTTTTTTAAACACAAAATTGACTTGCCTTGCAGCTTTTTCTAACCACCTTGCCCATCATTTTTTTCACTTTGTTTTGCTATTTATATTAGGCAAAAGTTTTCTATTACTACAGCTGCTGCCCAATACAGATTTTATGATCTTGCAAGAAAGCAATGTGTTGGTTTGAAGGGGCTCTGGAGATGAACTCTAAATAAAGACAACTTGAGTACTGACATGCTTTGTTTTATATCTTCCAGCATGACTATGGTGTGACAGACAAGATTTTAATGTGAACAGCTTTTGAATTGATTATAGGTATTTAAGTGATAGGAAGAAGGTGTTTGATCTTTTTTATATTTTAAGAAGCTATTTTAGAAGTTACTATTCAGCCACCGTTAGTTAACAAATAATTTAAAATGGTATGACAGTAATCACTTGCATGACACAGCATTCTGCATCCCTTGCTGTTTGAGTCAGTGCAATTATCAGCAGTAACGTGAGAGAAAAAAACAGTAAGGTCGCATGATGCTGACTAACTTTATTTATCTTCAAGATTGAATATTCTGTCTATGGGAGGCAAAAAAAATAACAACCACCCAAACATTTTTGTTTGTCTTGATCTTCATTTTAAGGTTGGTTCAATGAATTGTGAGAGAAGAAAACATGAGAGACTTACTAAAAAAAATTCAGAACTACTGCATAGAATTGGGAAATTCTATGGGGAGAGCTTCTGCAGTGAATATAAAATCTATGTTAGACGGCTTAATCTTGTAGCAGGAGTAATGCACCCAAACACTGCAGTGCTTTTTGGATGCTCAGGCTCTTACAGAAGATGGTCCTTTATGCTTGCTTATGTTTTCATTAAGGAAGCTCTGCACATGTTCTGGATAACTTTTTTCCTTCTTTCCTGAGGTTTCTGTTATGTTACCCATTTGTTTGAATGTCAAACAGGAAGTAGGTTTTACAGCAGTAACATTAAATATTGGTGGAGGAAAAAAATTATTTACCCCCCATAATCTTGGAGTTTTTCGTTTTCATGCTGTGGATTAGGGGTTTACCTTCCTTATTTTGTGCCTTCTCCATCTTTTTTATTTGAATTGTAAGCTTTTCAAGAAGTCTTACTTTCTACAGTGGAGCTCAAAATTTTGGCTGTGATGTGTTGATGTAACTAGAAAATAAAAAGAAGCTTGCTATAGATTTTGAGTGACAATAATCTGTTTTTCTCTCCCATAAACGTACTTCAAAAGTCATTTGCCTAAATGGCAGTAAATACTAATGTTTCTGTTGCCCTAAATCAGTCTTTCACTTCTTTATCCTTAACATATTGAAGGGCATTAGATGAAGTGCTAGTGGACAAATCTCACAGGCATAGGCCTTACTTGCTTCTTGTTATTCCGTTCACTTAAACTGATAGTAAAAGAGTATACTCCACTTTGGTCTCAGCTGGCTTCATTGATGGTAGGCTTTTAATTCCCACTGACTGTCCTTTTTATTTTCCCAGTAAGTGAATGTATTCTTTTTTCCTTTCATAGTCAAAAAGTGGAAGTCCATTATCCTTGCTGTTAGTTTACTTTCTAATCCAGAGCAAATAAGAATTTCTGAATTCTTATAGCTTTCAGTTCCGTTAATAATTTCTTGTAGAGCCCAAAAGCCATGCTAAACTCAGAAGGCACATGCTAGGTCCTTGTGAGGAGGAAGAAGAAATGTATTTTCACTTTGTATTGATCCTCAAAGCATCTTGATATTAGGTCCACTAACTTTCCACGCAGCAAAACTTTAAAGTCTTGTACTTCAGGTACGCAGCTCGTTGTACCTTGTCATTATTTATCTGGCTGTAATTTGCCATTTCTCAAGGAATCAGTTGCATAGTCTAGTGGTTTTTTTTTATATCAACATTTCAAAGCAAATTGAACCAGTTCATAATGCAGTCAATTTTGTAATATTGGGCTTAGTATTACAACAAGGAGTGTTTGGATTAAAGAGAGGATATGCATATTTTCCCACTGTTTTGAAAAACTGACCATTTTGAAGCGTAGCAGTAATCAGAATGGGCTGGTGCAGTACTCACTAGTAGTATTCTAGTACTACTAGTAGTAGTAGTACTCACTTAGTCCGCATTGCTTTTTTCCCCCCCCATCTCTCATGTAGCAGTAGACAGTGTAGAAAAATGAATTTTCCAGACAAAAGCTCACTAGTTTCAATCCAGTAATAGTAATAGTCTATTACCTATTAAAAGCTTAGATTTCAATGGAATTCAATTTGTACTGCTTACTAGCAGAAGAAATGGGCTGGTAGTTGCAGATGGTACAAAGAGAGGTGGAAAAATTAGTCTTTATCTTTTAAATCACTTTCTTCTTTAATAGCACATACAAATTCATATTTACTAGAAGCATCATTTACCTGATTCTCAGTCAGTGTGTTTTATTGTGTTTATTTATGTGGAGCTTAAAACATCAGAACTGCTAAAGCTTTTCCAACTTTTAAATCTTCCTTGTGAGATTCTTTAGGGGGATAAAGAAAAGCTTTATACTTTTTCCAACAAACTAAACCACTGTTTAATTTTAAATAAAGGGGCATATGGAAAATATAGTTGAACAGAAATAAAAATATTGTCAGTATTTTGGGCTCTTAAAATTAGCTATTGATAAAATAGCTCTTAATTAGCTATTTATTTTCTTCTTTAGTACACTGTATGTGGTTTTGACATGGCAATTATTTATTGCAGTCCACAGAACTGATTCTTTGTCTGTAACACAAAATAACTTCTCAAACTCTAGTGTTAAACCATGTTATATATGTGCGTAGTTATATCTGAATGCACAGTCTTTAGTTTAGTGGTGTTTAAGAAAAAAGCACAGAGTTGCTCTTCTTAGAAGTTAGTTGTCATTTTTCAAGATTTTGTCTTTTCTTATCACTCCTGAAGACCAAATTTTTTTTAATAACCTGATCTTAGTGACTTAATTTTTAAGGCCCCTCTCTCCTTCATTCTTTGGTCTTACATCTGTATAGACCACGTGCATGAAATTGCAGGACTAACCACTGCCTGCCAACGTGATCCTTTCTGAAAAATCAGTTGTGTTCTTTCTATAATAGTCTTGCACAATAGGAGGACAGCAGTCTTAATATAAGCTCTCATCCTTATATTAATTTTCAGTCTTGTGTTATTTTTTTCAGTTCTCATTCTGCTTGCAAACTTGCAGGATAGTAGTAGTTTCCAGTGCATACAGTATAGCTTCCACCAAAATGATTCTAAAGATAGGGTTTGATGATCTCTTTGGTGCTTCTTGGTAAGGTTGGAAGTGATGTGGTGTAGTACAAATTTGAAATTTCTGGCTTTGCGTCATTTAATTTTAACCTATCCAAAAGATAAAGAATATTTGGGTAAGAGGACAGTGAAATTCAGTGCTATCTAGCCAGGGGAATTGCTGTGGGGAACTAATCCAGCCAACACAACTTGCGTCAGTCCCTACTTGGCTGTAGATTAAATTTTGGGATTGGTTCAGTGTTTGACTGGGACAAGGATCATGGGACTGAAAAGCTTGCCTTTTTTCTTTTAACTCTCATAATCATTCCTCTGCCAAACAGTTTGATCAAGCCACAGTATCTGGACAGTAATTCTGTTTTGCAGTGCAGTTGGAAACTTAGCTAGGGAAGCTCTGTAACCAAGGCAAAGCTGGGGGAAAGGTAAGAAATGTCTTAAGTTTTATGCAATGGAAAGTGTGCTATGCAAAGAAACCTTTTTTTTTTTTCTTTTTTTTTTTTGTGGTTGCTTATTTTAAACGAAGTATCTTAAAGGAATAGCTTTAAAATTACATTCATGTTGTTTCAGAACATATTTCTAACACTGCTTATGAGAATGATGGAGAATGATCAGCTTGTCTCTGACTCATGATTGTCTCTCAAAGCAGCTTTGTTGTCGTAATTTTTAACAGTTAATCTCTGCAGCTAAATAGCATAACTTAATGTCTTCATCATCTTCTCTTGTTACTCGGTCATTTGAGCTTTGAAGAAGGAAATTGTATATATGATGTAACCTTTTCACAGCTTGAAGCAGGGAGAAGACAAGAATGTGATCCCTGGTTTACCTCTAGGGAAGAAAGAAGTCGTGATTGTTTAGTGAGGCTTGAGTGTAAGCTTGACCTGTCACTCACAAACACAAGATTATAGCAGATATTTCCATCCTCAAAATGTAGTGTTAGATGTATCGACTTTCTGGTGCTTGCATAGAGGATTTCACAATGATGTGTGAATGTACCTTTTCAGTAGATCTGTGCTTGCTTCAGAGTTTTCAATACATCACTGCCAGGGTCTGTTTGGTGCCTGGCAGTCCCTGTTGTGGATCATAGCTGTATGACCAGTTCCCAAAACCAGTAAGCTAAAACAAAGAAACTGTTAATGGATCAGTGTGAATCAGAGCAGTAGGTCTGAGTCAGCAGGGAAAAAGATGATTATGGAATCTAACATCTTATTTGTGAAGATTGCTGTTTAGTATATTATATATCCTGGTATATTGTCCAAATTCCTCCCAGCATCAGTTATTTATCAAATATTTATGAAATTCCTTACTCGTTTGCCACAAAAGTAATATATAATACTGCTGTGCTATTTAAATATACATATATTTTCTTTTTCCCCACAAAAAGAATTCTAACTGTATTTTATTAGAAAATGACATGATTTCTAAATCTAAGTAAAGTCTGGGATATTTGAAGCTGAAAAGTAGATCAGAATTTTCGAGGACACTCATCTAAAGATGAGTGTT